GTCAGAGATTTAGGGACATCCAGAGCATGGGGTTACATCATTGGCCATCTTGGCTAATAGCTATTGATGGACCTATCCTCCACAAACTTATCTAATTCTTTTTGAAACCCAGTTATACTTTTGGCCTTCACAACATCCTCTGGCAAGGAGTTCCACAGGTTGACTGTGCATTGTGTGAAGAAGTACTTCCTTATGTTTGTTTTAAACCTGTTGCCTATTTATTTCACTGGGTGATCTCTGGTTCATTTGTTATGTAAAGGGGTAAATAACACTTCCTCCACACTATTCATGATTTGATAGACATCTATCATATCCCCCCTTTAGTCATCTCTTTTCTAAGATGAACAGTCTCAGAATTTTTAATCCCTCCTCATATGGAAGCTGTTTCATACCCCTAATCAATTTCTTGCCCTTCTTGTACTTTTAAAAATTCTAATATATCCTTTTTTGAGATGGAGCAACCATAACGGCAAACAGTATTCAAGGCGTGGGTGTACCATGGATTTTATATAGTTGCATTATGATATTTTCTGTCTTATTATCTATCCCTTTCCTAATGGTCCCTAACATTCTGTTCGCTTTTTTGACTGCTGCTGCACACTGAACAGATGTTTTCAGAGAACTATCCACGACGACTCCAAGATCTCTTTTTTCAATAGTAACAGCTAATTTAAACCCCATCATTTTGTATGTATAGTTGTTTGATTATGTTTTTCAAGGTGCACTACTTGCACTTAATCAACACTGAATTTCATCCACTATTTTGTTGCCAAGTCACCCAGTTTTGTGAGATCACTTTGTAACTCTTCACAGACAGCTCTGGAATTAACTATCTTGAGTAACTTTGTATCATGTGCAAACATTGACACCTCACTGTTCATCCATATTTCCAGATCATTTATGAATATGTTGAACAGCATTGGTCCCAGTACAAAGATATTTGCCTCTTGCTACTGTAAAACTGACCATTTATTCCTACCCTCTGTTTCCTATCTTTTAACCATGGATCTGTTATCCATTACAATACCTTCCCTCTTATCTCATGACTGCTTATTTTGCTTAAGAACCTTTGGTGAGGGACCCTATCAAAGGCTTTCTGAAAGTTCTACACTATATCCATTGGATCACCCTTGTGCACATGCTTGTTGACTCCCTCAAAGAATTCTAATAGATTGGTGAGGCATGATTTCCCTTTACAAAAGCCACGTTGACTCTTCCCCAACATATTGTGTTCATCTAGGCATCTGATAATTCTGTTCTTTACTATAGTTTCAACCAATTTGCCTGGCACTGAAGTTAGACTTACCAGCCTGAAATCACCAGGGTCACCTCTGGAGCCTTTTTAAAAATTTGGCACTATATTAGCTAACCTCCCGTCATCTGGTACAAGCGATAGATTACAAACCACAGTTAGTAGTTCTGCAATTTCATATTTGAGTTCCTTCGGAACTCTTGGATGAAGACCGTCTGATCCTGGTGGCAGCACCAGCTCCCTTCTGTTCTCACGCAGATGCCCCTCACTTTTAAAGATCCATGGAAAATGCCAGACAATTGTGTGAAGCCTTAGAACCACAGGCTTCATACAAGCTACTTCACAAGGAAACAGGTCCAGACTGAGTAAAGGGTAAGGAGGCCCTGTCCTTCTCCAGTTCAGTGCTTGTCCACAAGCTGAAGCAAATGTGCCAGTTCTACAAAGTAAGACCTCAGCTCCCCCAGCCAGTATCCACAGAACTATTGAGGAATAACAGTGAACACCTCAAACACACCCCATTCCTGGTCACACCCTGGAATGCCCATCGCCTCCCCACTCCAGCATGTCTCACCTGGCATAGAGGCCCACAGTGACAGGGTGTTTTCACCTGGACCCAACAGGGCCATGGGATAACATTGAATTGAACCCCCTGTGGCTTTTCTCACACTGCCCAGCTCTTCACTCCATCTTTCACCTTCTTTTTTCAGTAAGTATTGTTATGGCAGATGGTGGTGCTCATATATTTAGAATTCTAAGTTCCTTTCCCTTACTTAGCACAGTGAGCAAATTTTGACTAGGAAGATATGCTGTCCGGTTACTAGGTTTTGGTTATGCAAGGTTCTGTGTAGGGGCAGCTTGAAGAGAGAGGGTGCTGGGCAAGCCGCAGGAAAGCTTGCTCATTATCTTTGTCTCTGAATAGTCAATTCTTGAGGCAGAGTTTCTTCCTAGGAACCAGCCAATGATGTTGGGCTGAAGTTCCTGGAAGCAGCGATTGACGTACATGTTGTTTGACCACCTTTGTTCCAGGACTGGTGTATATGTATAGACGAAGCAAGTTACAGTTAAAGTCAGCCCAGATTCTGCATCACTGATTTTGTCTCTGCTGGGAAACTGACCAATATTTTATTCTCCACTCCCTCTGCTCCTTTTAGTCAGACCCTCCTCAAAAGAACAAAAACCCAGTAACAGCCAAGTTGATCATTCAAGGCCAACATTTACAAAGGAATTTAAAATTAGGCACACAAATTCACCCATCTCTAGTGACCCTGACAGTCCCATTGCCACTGTGCCACCTGAAACCACTACCCCTATAGCTTGGACCTAAACACCCTACGTCCACTCCCTGAGATGAATTCTGAACCCTGCATCCATTTATAAATGTCACCTTTCGTATAGTCCAGTCTATCGTGCCTTAAGCCTGAGGCTTTAATTTGCTGCATGTCCATTCTACAGGAATTTCTCAGCTGATTTATTTTACCCTTTATTTCATTAAATGTGCTTACTATATTCAATTTGCCACTATAGGCCTCACCACACTTGCTGTATCAATTTCAGAATGATCGTCTCAGTTTTTTCCAGCTTGTTCAATAGTAAGTAGCATTAAACTCAGAACATTTATTAAGGACTGTGGACAATGGATTTTTTAGTCAAGTTCAGGCTATTAATCTCTATTATGATTTATCTCAGCTTTTCACACCCTGTTGGTATTTGTTTAGCTCTCTGCTAGCCATTCAGTGGAGATCCAGATAATTTAAGATTAATTTCCTTCTCCTATAAATCAAATACTTTAACGTCTTCAGTTCTCTCCTCCCCAAAGGCAAGCAGGTTGCTTGTCCCTGCAGGTCTTTCTCCATAAGAAACAAAGAGCCAAAATCAGAGGCAATATGTGATATTCATGTAAATTAGACTCACTTAAACTCCCTTACACTTTTGGGATCAAGTTCAGAGATGATGGCTCCAATTTTCCAATGCGCTATGGCGGTTCTGCACTGCTCTGGCAGTGCAATGCAGGATCAGGTACCTAAAAGATTCCTCCTTCATAGGGAGATACCCAGATGGTGCAGAGCCATTGTAAAAGCTGCCATACCAACCCCCAACCCTGGCCCCAGCACAGGGGTGTGACCAAAGAAAAGGAAAGGTGGCCAGGGTGCGTCTGTGTCCTGCTGACACAGGCTACTGGAACAGTCCTTGGCATAGTTTGGAGCAGCCTGAAGGCTGCTCTAATTTATGCTGGAGGATCAAACCTGGAGCCCCATTAGCTGTCAGTAATAAGCAGGCTCTTCTGCTTGCTGGGGCCAGCCACTGGCTAGCTGGAGATGGAGAACATTCTGTTCTCTTTAGGATCTTATTCCTCACCCATTCCCATGGCATCTGAGTGCCTTGCAGAATCAGGAAATTAACTAAAAAATTTCTCTACTTAGAGAGAGGGGTTTCCATGATTCAGGGCCACCCAGCCCTAGTCCAAGTTAGGGCTACAAAAGTACAGCCCTGATTTACTCCAGCACTGGAGGATCCTTCAGGGCAGGGCTGTTACCTATCCAGAAACAAAAGCATTCTGGCTTCGCAGGACATGACAGAACAATAGCCATCACAAACCTCCACAAACAATTGAAAGGCTTCTTTCGTGTTACGCGTAGGATGATGGCACTGGTAAGGACACCAGTCACCTGAGGATTGTGTATGTCTGCAACATTAACAGTTGCTACAGGGACAAGATCCTCCATGGACTGATGTCATTAGAGTGATGCTGATTTAGATCAGCCAAGGATCTGGCCCAGAATCCTGTCTTCTTAGTATTTGGCATGGCAGGTCAGTAAAGGAGGATATGATATTTAACTGTTCTGTTTTAAATTCTCTCACTTTATCATTTACAGTGATCTGACTCCTTAAACTGTTTACTGTGAGATTTTCAAAAGTGCCTATGGGCGTTAGAAGCACAAATCCCATTGACCTGTGTTCCTAATTCCCTTTGGTTACAGTAAGAACTATTAGTGTAAACCCACTGAGGTCAACAGAGCTGCACCAAGAAAACATGTGGCCCAAGATGGCTTTCTCCACAGCAGAGAAGGCAGAGTGAACTGTTTTAACATTCTGGATTTTATTGTTCTGTACCTCTGATGCTTTTCCAGCACAGGGATTTTTTTAATTATTACTATTAAGAATTATTCATATGATGGAGGCACCTAGCAGCCCCAGCCCAGATGGGGGCCCCATTGTGCTAGGCACTACGTGCACACAGAGTAAGAGTGTGTTCAGTGTTCAGTATTTGCCAAGATGCGGTTTGACACCTGGCCAATTCTGTCTTCTCTCAAGAGAAGCCCTGGCTGGCAAAGGCTGGCACAGGTGCCCTGTGGCATCAGGGTAAAACTCACCTAAAGTCTTAATCTAAAACAAAGAACCCCTTAAAAATCCCCAGAATGAATGGCCCCTTGAAATGCAAATGCCGGAGGTCTGTCTAACTAGGTACATAGCCCCCTGACCATTGTGTCAAAGTGGGTGTCCCACAGCATGCTTGGGAGGTAGGGCATCCCTGGTATTCCCATTGAGAGACTAGGTGACATGCCTAAAGTCCACTGGAAGCCTGTAGCAGAGCAGAGATTTGAACTCCAGTGCCTTGACTGCAAGTCTGTCCTTCTGCCCTGCAATTTGAGGACCAGACTCCTTGACATCACATCTTTCCCTAGCCTGCCATGACTCAGCATCTTTGGCTTATATAAAAATCTAGGAATGCCCTCCACCCCCCCGGTAAAATATGATTCTGGATGATCATCCCACCTGGGTCCTTCCAGTAAGAAGCAGCCCATCCATCCATGGCAGTCCATTGAACTGTGGTGTTGTTATTGTGCAGGTTTGTGTCAAAGGAAGTGTCGTTATTGCATTATTTTCAGTCGCATGTATTTCTCTCTCCTAGACATGGTGGAAATAACCCACTCCATGTGTCCGTACATCTCCAGTATTCCCCTCCTCACCCGAGGCCAGGCTCTTTCCAGATCCCCACCCACCCTGCCTTGGGTATAATTGTCTCTGCGTCAACTCCCAACCCCAAAATTTAGCACAGAGACATGTTCCACACAGTCCCCTCCACTGGCTCAAAACAGAGGATAGTTACGCTGGGGATGGATTGTAGGTTCGGGTGCTCTCAAAGCTCTTGTCATTAGCCTAAGGTGCCATATGCATGAGTGACCAGCTCCCAACATGGCCTGGGGAACTTGGTTCTTACTCACTTATATTTTGGCTACAATCGATACAGATTGTATGCTAATCAATACAGATTCTTCATAGCAAAATCCCCCCAACTCTCCCAGCCCGGGCTCTTCTTGCCTTTCCTTGGCACTCCAGACCATCCATCCAAGCATGCCCATTGTCTCAGGTTCCTTATGCTCCCGAGTGGAGAGAGAGAGATAGAAGCCTCCCTTTATTTGCCAGGCAAAGGCAGCTTGAAGTGGGATTTCAGCCCCAGGGCATTGTCCACTTCTTCTACCAGCTGCAGGCTGTGCCACTGGGCGATGGGTCGGCGGGGATTGGCCAGCATGTCTGACCAGTGGCGCAGCTGGTTGCCCGTGGCTCTGCAGCCCAGGAACACCTTGCCGATCTGTTGGTTCTTGGTCACCTTGTCGTGATCCCAGACCGAAATCACCAAGTCGATGTTCTGGAGGGAAGGCACAAATGGAACAGGTGAGAGAGAGAGAAAGAAAGAAGGAAGGAGGGGGTGCATGTAAAGGGATAATAAAGATAATGGGGGCAGATAGAAAAGGAAGCAGAAGAAGATGGTGGGCAAAAGGATTAAGCGGAAAAGAAAATTGAGGGTGAATGGCTAGAGAGAGAAGCGTGATTCCCCCATAGGGATGCCTATGTAAAATGTTTGAATCCCTTCTCTCTGTGAGGGGTATGTTCTCTGTCTCCTAAAAAGTACCACTGGCCCCTGAGCAGGTTGGCTGGGGCTACCTACGGAGAGGCATGTAGGCCTCTGCAGGAGTGTGTATAGAATCAGTCAGGGAAGGGTTAAGTGGCTACTGTAGAGTAGATGCAGTTGGGTTTGTTAACCCCACATGCTTGGTGGCCATGTAGAAAAGGAGGAAGAAGCCAGCCATGACTGCGGATGGGCTGATTGGACAGACTGACTGACTGACATGCATCCCCACCCCTTCTTGAAAATAAAGCATGAACTTTTATTTGGGATTTGGCTTATCCCCTGGAAAGGGAAGGGCTTGGAGGTTCAGCTGGTTGGGCTGGGAGGGTCATGCTCACACCAGGGAGAGGGAGAACCCACTCTGGGATGCTCCCCATTCCTTTTCATTACCTCCTGACCACTCCCCTGCTCCCAGTCATGCTACAGAAAAGTGTGAGAAATACAGTATCCGGGTCTGGAATGAAAAATGCAATCTGCAAGGTCCCCTACACTTCCCCAGGGTAAATCCGGGGTGAGAGATTTCCTCGGAGGATGATGACATCAGCCAAGAGGGGGCAGCACCTGAAAGCCACTCGCCCCCCACTCACTCAAACCCTTCAGCCCATACCGCCTTGAGTTCCAGACTCCTTGTCTGTCTGTATTGCAGGAGACCCCTGTATTGCAGGAGACCCCACTTCATTTCCCTTAGCCTTGCAGAGCAGCTGAGCAAAGCTAAGCCCCCACCACAATGGCAGCGCCTGGCACCAACAGGACTATTATAATTTTTTTGTTAGCACCTTCAGTTATAGCAGCCACTTCACAGCCAGTGACTTTGGGTTCATTGCTAGTGGTGCCTGTCTGTTACTGAATGCTCTCCCTGGCTGGGGAAACCTACCTGGATCTGGTTGAAAGGCACCTCAAAATTAAACGCCTCATTGAAGTAGGGGCTTAAAGTGCTCTTCTTCACACCTGTCTTCTTCTTCTTCCATTTCTTCTTGTTCAAGATAAGCTGCACTTTGACAAAGGGGTCTGAGAAACAAAGAGAACGTAGGCAGGAGCGGAGGGCATGACCAACCAGTATCATTAATGCTATCCCTTGGAGCAAAGATTTCCACAGCTGGCCCATGAAACAGCTTCATGGAACATTGACATTCAGAATTCTGCTAGCTTTCCTGATAACTGGCCTCTGCATGGCTTTGCCAATGCCCCTCGGTCATGACCTGCAGCAACCCCTGCTTTCCAGTTCCGGGCTTCTCCCACAGTTCAGCCAATCAACCTCAGTCCTGATCTATGATATCTCTTGAAATTCCACACAGCTCTGCTAATGCACCTGAATCCCAACTTCCAGGCTTCCTGCTACTCCTCATAGTGGTTGTGTTGGGGCAAAATGAGGAAGAGGGGTAGATGCAAAGGAGAGGCACGGGATATGAGGCATCTAGCCTCATATGCTAGGGGGTTCCTTTAAACACAGAGTAGAATTGCTCCCAGCCCCATACACACAGAGGAGGTCAACCCTGAGCCCTTTCCACCCACAGACACAAAGTCCCCCCACACACTCTTTGGGGTTGCCCCCAGAGCCCTTCTGCTGAGGGCAAATGCAGAAGTTGCCTATTGTACAAGCTTTTGCCAAACTGTGTTACAAATATATGTTTGCAGTGTTGCTGTAGTCATGTTGGTCCTAGGATATTAGTGCAGGGGTAGGCAACCTATGGCACACGTGCCAAAGGCGGCAGGCGAGCTGATTTTCAGTGGCGCTCTCACTGCCCGGGTCCTGGCCACTGGTCCCCGGGGCTCCGCGGCTGGCCTGGGGTACCGGCCGCCAGACCCCTGCCAGGTGGGGTTCCATCTCCCAGCCCTGGGTCCCGGCCACCAGTCCCGGGGGCTCCACTGCCGGCCTGGGGTACCGGATGCCGGCCCTGCTGCCAGCCCTGGGTCCCAGCCACCGGTCCGGGGCTCTGCAGCCTCCCCCAGCTGTGGCCTACTGGCCCCAGCCTGAGGCAGTGAGGGGAGCAGACTGGGGCAAGAGAGGGCGCAGCTCAGCACCCCCACCTTAAAAATTGTTCCAGCACCACTGTACTGGGATATTTTTAAGTCCTGATTTGCTGCTTACATCACCATCACGCCACGTGGAACAGCGCGCTGCGTTTGATGTTGAGATTAGAATGTACGTGCAAGAACTGGAATCAGAATTTTCTGACAGATTTCAAGATTTCCAGCAATTTGACCCAATGCTTTCTTTTCTAAGTAAACCTGAAAAGTTCAATGAAAGCGACTTGGATTTGTCTGTATTTCAGTGGATGGGTGTTGAAGATTTCAAAATGCAGCTCATTTAGTTAAAAAGCTCAGAATTGTGGGCATCAAAGTTTGGAGCTCTGCAGACTGCACTTGAAGCTACCGAGAGAGATCACGGAGCCTCTATTCTGACCTGCTGGATGTCCCTGCCAGTGAAATTTAACTGTTTGAAGAAAACTGCGTTTGCAATGCTTTCAGCATTTGGATCCACATACCTGTGTGAACAGGTATTTTCACACATGAAATCTGTCCTCTGTCCCTCTCACAACCAGTTAACAGCTGATCATTCAGAAGCCTGTGTGCAGCTTAAAGTATCCAAATACGTGCCAGACATTGGAAAACTCAGCAAGGGCAAGGATCACACTAAACTGATAAGATCTGCATTTTAATTTAATTTTAAATGAAGCTTCTTAAACATTTTATAAACCTTATTTACTTTACATACAACAATAGTTTAGTTATATATTATAGACTTATAGAGAGAGACCTTCTAAAATCGTTAAAATGTATTTACTGGCACGCAAAACCTTAAATTAGAGTGAATAAATGAAGACTCGGCACACCACTTCTGAAAGGCTGCCGACCCCTGTATTAGAGAGACAAGCTGGGTGACCTTTTTCATCAGCAGAAGTGGGTCCAATAAAAGATATTACCTCACCCCTTATCTCTCGTGCAAATATATGGTGTGAGTGTTGGAAACTGGAACTAGACAATCAAACTCATTCATCCTCATCAGCTGCGGCTGAATTTGAATCCACAACTCTTACCATTGGTGCCTTCTGTATTTCTGTCTGTCTTATTTCCACTCCCATTATAGCAATAGGAGTCAAGCCTGAACTGTGCTGGAGCAGAGAGAGACCTGTGTTTAAGGCAAACCTGTCTACTTGGCGCTTATCTGTCAATGCAGCATCATGGTGTGTCCTTCCTTGTGTGTCCCACACTCCCGAATCCCACACTGTACAACCATTGTGGCCACTTCTGCCTTACCTGATAATCCACTTGAGTCCATCCTCTTGAGCTTCTTGGCTTCCAAGATCACCACTGTGAGCTTACTGGTGCTGGGGATGTATCGGAGTGAAAAACAGATCTCCCCAAGGCGCTCTTGCTGTTAGAAACACAAAGTCAAAAGAGAAGTGATCAGTGAATGCTTGATGGCAGGATCAGAGCAATATAGCCAACCTGGCCAATGCCAGGGGCCGGTGGGGCTTTATGGACTATGGTTAGCCTTGGGGCCAGTAGGACTCCCAGGGGTAGGGATAGGGTTACCAAGGGTATGGATCTCCAGGGTAGGGTAAGGCCTGTGACCAGTAGGGAACTTCAAGGTAGGCTTAGGGCTTGGCTACACTTGCGAGTTACAGCACAATAAAGGAGCCCTGGGTGCACTAGGTCACTACCCATCCACGCTGGCAAGGCACGTAGAGCGCTCTGACTCTGCGGCTACAGCACTGCTGGTACTCCACCTCGGCGAGTGGAATAACGTTTGCTGCGTCCCCGCTGGAGCGCGCGGCACCAGTGTGGACGAGATGTTGCATTACTGCGCTCTGACCAACCTCCGGAAAGTCCCCTAATCCCCTTAAGTCAAGTGGCCACTCTTGTCATCGTTGTGAAATCGGCTGCAGGAATGCGGAAATGCCCTTTCAAAGCTCCATTTCGGAGAAGCCAGCTGTTTATCAGCTCCCGAGAAAAAGCAAACATTTACTGTTTGCTTTGAGTGAGTGAGAGAGAGAGGCGGGGGGAGGGGGGTCTGAATTTACAAGACAGCATGCTGACACACTCTCGACACCCCAAAAATCCACTCTCTTCCCCCCACACATACACACAACACCTCCCTGTCACGCTCCACGCCACCACCACCACCACCCCCATTTGAAAAGCACGTTGCAGTCACTTGCATGCTGGGATAGCTGCCCATAATGCACCGCTCCCAATGCCGCTGCAAGTGCCGCAAATGTGGCCACGCCAGTGCGCTGTCAGCTGTCCGTGTGGACAGACTGCAGCGCTTTGCCTACTGCGCTCTATGAAGGCGGGTTTAACTCACAGCGCTCTACATCTGCAAGTGTAGCCATGCCCTCAGAGTTACAAAAAGGTAAGCTTCGCTGGACTAGGACTATGCATGGGGCTGGTAGGGCTTCCCAGAGTAGAGTTAGGGTTACTAAGGGTAGGCCTTCACTGGCTAGGGTTAGACCTGCGTCCAGTAGCACTGCCCAAGCTAGTGTTAGAATTACCAAGGGTAGAGCCCTCTTGGGTCAGGTTAGGCCTGAGGCTGGTCAGGCTCCCCAGGCTACAGTTAGGGTTACTAAGGGTGGGGCTTTCCAGGCGAGTGTTATGCCTGGGACAGGTAGGGCTCCCTGAGCTAGGGTTAGAGTTACTAATTGTAGGGCTCCCCAGGCTAGGGTAAGGGTTTCTAAAAGTAGGCCTCTCCGGGCTAAGGTCAGGGTTACTGAGAGTAGGGCTCCCTGGGGTAGAGGTAAGGTTATTAAACGTGGGCTTTTCTGGGCTAGGGTTTGGCCTGGGATGATAGGGCTTCCCTGGCTCGGGTTAGGCCTGAGGCCAGTAGTGGTCCCCAGTCCAGGCTTCGGGTGGCTAAGGCAAGTGCTCTCCATCACTGCCTCTGCTGCACCTGTCCTGTGGATACACAAAGGAACTGGCCTGTGAATGCAGCATCTTTCACCTGCATTTAGTCAATTCTCCCAGAAGGGTGCCACCGGACATGACCACAACAGTAAGGATACAGGTTACACCTCATTCTCCAGAGGTTTAGAAGTGGGAGAAAACGTCCAAATTTGAAATTTCAAACAACATGTTTTGGTTGAAATTGCAATGAAAAGAAAGGATGAAAATGTGAAAACGTTTGTGAAAACGATGTCCCGTTCTCTGAGCTGCTCTAGTGTGGAATTATAGCCTCATGCTTTGCAAGCCACAGTTCATCAAAGGCCATGTTCCTCTGGGGGCAAAGTTTGTTGAAAATGTTGTCTCTTTTTTGTTGAAATGTTGATGAAATTGCCCATTTTTCAACACTTTGACCAGCTGGTTGAAAAGTGGGACATTTTCATGGAAATGTCATTGAAAATACTGTCCCAGTTTTTGGTTGAAATTTTGACAAATTTGCAAATTTTTGATCAGGTCTGCTACACACTCCATTGTGGATTTTTATCAGGTGAATAATTAATTTACAATTAATCTTGTATTCACTGAATTTTACCTTTTTTTTTCCTATTTGCAAATAATCTTCAGACACACCAAGAAAATGTTCAGTTTTATAACTAGGCAAAATTAATAGCAAACTTCTACTTGTTAATTAGGAGTATTACAACTAGGGCTACAAACTATAGTTCATGCTGTAACTGATGGGACTCATTTACATAACTTATGTAACTATTTTATGTAACTCTAATTACATAAGTGGTATAATTTACAGTGAATAACGAGCATGGCATGAATTTTGAACTGTAGATTTGACTGTCATCTTCAACATTTGCATTTCACACTGTTTTGGTTAGTAGCTTTTCATCCAACCAGAGAATAGAAACAATTCCATGTGACTAGATAGCATTGCCAATTCTTGTGATTTATATCATGAGTCTCATAATATTTGGTGCTTTTCTTAAAACCCCAGCTCCTGGACTTCTGTCATTATAAGAAAATTTCCATTTTCAAACAACTTTTAAAAAGTACAGTTCTAGCCTTCTGGCCCTCATGATTATAGAGGAAAGCTTGAAAATGTGAGCCTTAATGGCTCAAAAAGCAAGAAAAATAAAAAGAACCCAATGTTTATTATTTTGAAAAATCTCATGATTTCGAAGTCAGGCCACGAATGATTTGGGGCGGGGGGGTGCTGACTCATGACTTTTGACTGCTTGGCTTGGCCATCCTGCTTCTGTAACCAGCCATCTCAGCAGAAGTTGCAGTTCCCTTGTTATATATCAAACAGAGCAACTCAACATTTGGCAAATATTCCAGCTACAAATGTGCTTTTCCTACTCCTTTCGGGGAGGAGCGAGTTATTTCACCCAGACTCATGGAGCAGTTTACTACCCACAATCCTGGCCATCCATGCTGGCTAGTGAGTGGGAAAAGGATCCTCCCATTCTTCACCCCTCTCCATCCTTTCCTTGTTTACTGGCTCATTGCAGGGAATCTGGAGGGAGTAGCCTCTGCTCTCCTCACTGTGTCTGGAGGGGAAATCTGAGCAACCAGGCAGGCTTTGCTCCCCTGTGCAGTTGAGTAAGGACTGCAACAGTCCTAGCCCATGGGACTTCAGCAGAAGTACTTGCTGATGGGGGAGGTGCTGCTCAACGGGAGAGAAGGTGGTGGAATCAAAACTTCCATGGGGAGATCTGTGAGATATTTTGCCACTGGTTCGGTTTCACTTTGCCCACTTGCTGCTCCCCTCACTCCAGGATTTGACTTGTATACCCACCTCCCTCTTACTGGCAGCGGTGAGCTCTTGCCACTGTTCAATCACGTGCTGCAGATCAAAGTCGCCCAGAGGCAGCCGGACCTCGCCGATGATGTTGTGTTTGGCAAAGCGGTTGAAGTCGTAGATCTGCATCACCAGGGTGGACTCAGACATCTCCGCCTGGGGAATCTGTTCGGGAGGAGACCAGAAAGGAATGGCAGTGGGGGGGTTAACAATATCACTGTCGTGCTCTTCTGTTGGAGCTCAGTCTCATGAGTGTGGGGCAGCAGAGCTGTAACAGAGCTTCCCTCACTCCATTGCCACTCCCTTTCCCCCTGCGCTGAAGGCACATCTGGGCCTGGGGAGGCCCTCCTCCTCTCCCAGAGTGAGAGTCAGCCTCCATGGTCATTCAGCGCTAGGATTCCCAACACGCTGCTCTGCTGGCCCTAAACCCTGAGCAGGAAGGACCCCTGAGTCTTGGAAACCAAAGGAAGGAGGGAAGATTTTTTGCTGTGATCATTTGCAGGAGGGACCACAGAGAGGTGACAAGTCCCCGTTTCCCACTCAGACTCAGCAGAAGAAACTGGCAGGACGCAGACAAGTTTGTGCAGGAGACCAAAGCTTTACTCCTGCAGGTGTATGTATGGTGCTGCACAACCGGGAGAGCAAACTGATCATGCTCCAGCACCCACATGAGTGAGGGATTCATGGGGGGCAATGGAGGGGAGTGTGCAGGGCACTATTAGTAGCAGCCTGGTTGCTGCAGCACTGGGAAGAGTGCAGGCTTCATTGAAGCCAATTAGTCAGTTTCTGCTGAGGATTAATGACCCTTGGGTAGTAATTGCTGGGCTAAGGAGGCAATTTGGCTCAGCAATGGGGAAGATGTAAGTGGGAGGAACAGGAGCTGGGGGAAGCTCAGAGTGTGAGCCTGAGCTGAGGAGAGATGGCTGTATAGAATTCTCCTCCCACTGTATAAGCTTGCAATGCATTCTGTTGTACTGTGTAAGTGAAGAATAAATACCCACGTGGTAAAAGGGTAACAATCTGGTGTGAGGGGGTGGTTAAGACAGCAAGAAACAGGCCAGGCAGTACGGCACACTGGGTAGTCACAGAGCCGCCCTCTGACGGGGGAAAAGTAAGTATGAATGTCAGAAAATCTCAGACCCTGTTTCTTTATTCTCAAGAATCCAGGGCATAAATGGGGGCATGTGGGTAAGAATGGGTGGGCCTGAGGAGACATCCATCTTCTGTGTCTCTCCTCCTTGGCCTCACTCCTGCCACAAAGCAGGAGGAATTTGTTGGAGGCGCAGCAGTGCTCTCCCTAACAGGCTCATGTCCTCATCCTGCTTACTTGTTTACCTTGCTCTCGTACGTGCCACCCTCTGTATCTGCGCTCTGCAGGATCAGCACTCGCTATGTGAGGTCTGCTTTCAGCTCACAAACAGCGAGTCAGTAGCCAACAGCAGCGATCTGGATGAAAGGGAGTAGCTGAGAGCATTTCTCACCTGGAAGGTGAAGGTCTCATTGAAGACAGGGTTCAGAGTCTTCCGGTAAACCTTGCTTTCATACTTCTTCCTCATATCAGATGTTAAGTAGACAATAACGTATGGGTCAGAGGTCCCCCCACTGTCCATGGCCTTTAAATCTGCTGCCTGCTTCACTCCAACTTTCATCTGAAAAATATCAACAGCAAAAGGTTATTCCGTGTAAGGAGAGACATCTGGCTCGGCTTTGCAACCTTCCAGGTGGATGTACTCAAAGTCTGTTGCAACTGGACCCAGAAAAGCACGGTAGGTGCTTTTTGTTGTAGGAAGCAACGTTGGGGGTGCTGTTATGGGTCAGTAGCCAGGAAGACAGGAGGGACCCTAGTGGCCAACTGGAGGGCTAGGACCTATTTAGTATCTGCAGCTGTGCCCACAGGTTTAGGGGAGGAGCTGGAGCTGTGTGCACAACAGAGGATCAGCATGTTGGCTGGGTGTTGTGGGGGTGGGCAATGTGATGGGCAAGGGGAAGAGGTGCAGAGCTGGCTCTGAAAGGAGAGGGTTTGGGATGCTGTGAAGGAGGAGAATCTGACGATACAAGAAAAAGGCATTTCCTGCATCTTCCATCAGTACTAGGTGGCTCACCCTGGCGTAGCAAGTCCTACCTCCTGGCTACGAAAGTTATACTCCAGGGAATACTGCAGCCTTCCTCGCTTCTCATTCTCGAGTCCAGACTCCAAATCTTCCATATCTGGCTGGACCTACAGAAAGAAAGCAGCAGAATGTCTTCTGAAATAACATTGCTCGTGAAGATTCAAGACTGGGATCTCTGGGATTTCTCCATGGCTGGAGACTAGGGGCAACAATGCAGTTCTCTAACCATGTCACCATATTCCAGAGATGATGCTGCCAGCCCAAGCTGCTTGCTCCTTCCTGAGCAGATAAGAGTGAACCCCAAGTTCATTACATTGTACTGCAGTGTGCTGCAATCCTGGAGGTCACTGTTTTAAAGTCATGTTTAGATTGTGACAAATGATGAAAGGATCCCTATTACATTCTGGGAGTATGAGTCTGCAGACCGGCCACACTGAAGTGAACCAAGCAAACAAAAATCAGGACAGCCTCAGCATTATGCAAGGCTCCATTAATAAGCCCAAAAAGGGACACTGGTACATCTTATTCTGCCACACTAAACATAGATCTCTCTCATGCTGGCTGCTCCCAGACTCAAAGACAGTCTGTACTTCCGTTTTTCTTCCTCTGTTTCCATAGCTGATTAATTTGGAGTGCATGAAAATGAGTAACTCATAGCACTAGTGCAGAGGAAGTTCTCCATACACATCTGTGCTAAACCATCCTTATTCTGGCCTGCAGCAGACATTGCTAACTTAGCTTGAGGTCGTTTCTGAACAGAAGCTGCCCCAGTGGTGTGTCCATGGCAAAACCCGTAAGTTCTTGGCTCTCCAGCCTTGTCACTCAGTTCACTAGAACGTGCTGCTGCTTTCTGAGTGCCTCTGCATGCTGTAGAGTAAGGCAGAGGAGGGGCAATGGGCGGAGCATACCAGGCTGGCAGTGGTGGAGCCATTGATGTTTTGCAAGTTGAGTTTCTCCTTCTTCTTGTGCTTCTTCTTGCAACAGCAGCACTTGATGATGCAGATGAGGAAGAGGATGAGGAGAAGGCCTGCCGCAATTGCAATGACGATGAGAGCCCATTTGGGTACTGTTGCACCGTTTTGGAGACAAAGAGAGAAAGAAATGGGGTTAGATCACTTTTTATGGAATGCCTGTCTAGATAATCCCTTTTTCTAGGGAGAGAATGTTATCAGGACTCCTGAGTTATCATCTGAGCCCTGGGCACATCACTTAAGGCCCAAATGGTGGACTTTAGGCACCTACATCCACATTTAGGCACCTAAATAAAAGTGGCCTGATTTTCAGAGATGTTGAGCTTTTGCAACCCGCCTCCACCCCCAAACTAACTCAGAGCTGTGTGTGATCAGCACTTCTAAAACTGAGGCCACTGTGACTGATCTGCTGGAATATGGATTAATTAATTGTCTAATGTTTGGCACACCCATCTGAAAAGTCTGGCCTTACCTTCCCTGTGCCTAAGCTCCCTAGCTGTCGGGGGTGGGGGGGAATAATACTCCACTACCCCCTAGGGATGGAGTGAGGGTTAATTCATTCATGTTTGTACAGTGCTTTGAGACCAATGGAAGAAGTGAGAAGTATCAAAAAGGCCAAACGGTCGATGTAAGTTCATTTCAAACATGGGTAGCTGGGTAGAGAAACTGGCTGAGATTTTCAGAGCAATCTAGGTGATTTAAGTGTAGGCAAGTCCTGAAATGCTACAGTAAATGCTCACTACAGCAACCGGAGGGGTTCTCCTGTTGGCATTGTTAATCTACCTCCCCAAAAGGCTGTAGCTAGCTCAACGGAAAAATTCTTCCATCGACCTACTGCTGTCTACACTAGGGGTTAGGTCAGCTTAATGTAGCGGGGGCAACTTCCCTGTTTAGTGTCAAGCTGGCCTTAGACACTTACCTCCTATTGAAATTAATGGGAGCTATCTATCTAAATCTCCTAGGCTGCTCTGAAAATCTCATCCACTGGTTGACTGGGTTAGCAGTTTGTGCCATGGGGAGAAGGAAAGACCCAAATGCAGAACCAACTCCACTCGTTCAAGCCAATAGCACCTCCGATATTGCATTCACTATCCCTCGCAGCCTGTTTTATCCCAATGTAGCATGTCCTACTAGCACTGCAGTGCTGATTGTTCTCATCTTCACAAGGAGATGGCAGTAAGCAAACAGGTCACATCCTGCACAAACACTGCCATGTCCTTTAAATCCCACTGCCTACACCCCAGCAGGTCCCTTTATGTGCTTCCTGATCATCACGTGCTTGGGAGAGACCAAGAAGTAGTGAAGGGGTTGTGAATATCAGATCCAGCAGTGACACATGTTATGTTCCCAGCCATCGTTAAATGATGTGTCATTTTGGTGGCGGAGGTGCCTCTGTTTGAGGAATCAGTGCAGGTCAGTGTGACAGAACCAGCATCGTATCTGTGGGAATTCATATTTGTTTAGAGGTTGAGATGTGAGCGCCCAGCTGAGTTATATCTTTTCCCTGTTCTGGAGATCGGCTTTGCTAAGCTCTTGTACTTATGATCGAGTTTTGCCTGCAGTTCTGCAGCAATGGAACTGGCCTGGGAGTTCACTCCCTTGATGCAGGAATTTGCTGCAAAATACAAACTTGCACTTTGGGGAAAAAAATGTTCATGGCTGAAAAAACTCACGGTACAGAACATAACTGGATGTAACAGCTGCACTATTGCCTCCAGGAGTCCAGAGACAGCCTGGAACAACCATTCTCCGACAGCCGTGAACCACTAGGCTGTTAAATCTGAAACCTAAAGATACCAGTTTCCATGGCCGCGTTGTTCACTCTTTCCTGGCTGATCTTTCTAGCAGAAACGTCCAGTGAAACGCCTCCTCCTGCCCCCCAAAATAAACCCTGAATGTACGAGTCATTGCTAGATTTAATCGGGTTAACAGCTACCTACATTTTCAAAATGTATCAGAAACTGCCACTGGAGTGCAGCACAATCCAGGAATCAGGCCACAGAATTTTCAGGCCCTCCCCTGGCCAAGCCCCCCCCCCCCACACACACACACACCATGCTTATACTGTACAGCTGAGCACAACCTGAAACTGTGGTGCCACTAGGTGGCGCTGTCATCATTTCCTAAATTCCCGCTTTCTTCATTACTCTTTCTAAGATGCCCAGTGGCTACGGGAGCCACCATTCAAACTTGAAAAGGAGTACTTGTGGCACCTTAGAGACTAACAAAGTTAGGACAAAGTCATCACATCAAGCTATCCTATCTTTGAGTTTTCACTTCAGGTCACCATGAAGTGGAGCTGGAGGGGTGAAAAAGGCAAAGGAGCTCGTTGAGAGAAGGGACCGCTAGGCTCTCAGGCCAGGAGCAGTGTCCTCAGTCTGCAGGGTACACCTCCCTCCCTCCCTGGTTGGGATTCGGGGGAGCTGGCAGGGGTTCGGGGGAGCTGAGGGCTTTAAAGCTTATGGTGGCAGCCATGGAGCCTTGGCTGGTGGCAGCCATTTGTGAGATCAAGGATAAGACCAAGAGGAAGCACGGTTGACTCATGATGGATTCAGCAAATAAATTGATCCCTGGTGAACCCACCACTTGTGCCCACTCTGCCACCTTTAATTTACTCACGAGGTATTTTGTTAATAATGTCATCGACGAAGCCAGGCTTGGCAGTAGTCAGAGCAGCGGCACTGGGGGCAGTAGTGATGTTTGAACTCATTTTGTTAGCCATGAGTAAGTGTGGGCGACCTGAAGAAGCAAACACAATAATTGGGAAATTCATTTCCTTTGCACTGTTTGTCTCTCCAATCTCAGACTCCAGTAAGAGTAAATACATATAACATATGAAACAAACATAGTAAAATATGAGTAGTTTGGACCAGATCACCTCTGTAACAATGTGTTAATTTGCATTATACTATTTAACTGCTCGGTGTCTCTGTGTGCTGGACAGAATTCCAGACAGGTTGTAGTCCCTGATAAACAACAGAGACAAAGCTGGGACTCAAGCTATGCGGAAGTCTGTTTGATTGTGTCTGTCAACTGTGCTTTTCTTTAATAAATGCCTCCTATTTAAGAAGACTGTGATTCTATGTAATGTGACCATCTCCTCCTGCAGAGAAACTACTGGGAAAAGGACAGAGAGGATGAAAGCTCCACTTGCCCTCAGGGCATTTTCCTGCAACCATTGCCTCAGGTGGGAAAGATGTGAGGAGCTGTAGGTGCAGGAGTTCATGCTCCCTCCCAACCCTATACAATTCAAGGATCCAGGGGGAAAGGAACTTCCTTCTCCACAGAAACAGGAGCCATTTGGCACTGACCTTTCCCTGTGGCAGCATGGCTGGAGCAGGAGTTGTTTGCATTGACTGGATCCCCTTGTTCAGTAGCAGCCTCAGAGGGGACCCACAGTAGGTAATACATGATGCCACAGAGAGCAGTTTCTCTCCTGCTCCGTTCTCTTCCTTCCCCAGCCCTGCTCCTGAATTCCAATCATGGTGCAAATGAGTATCCACATGAAGCAATGGAGGGGGAGATAGTGGAAAGTCTGTGATCCATGCATGGAGTGCCCAACTCTCATGGGCCCCTTGCATTTCTATTTCATCCATAGGTCCCTAAGGATTCCAACGTGTGTGGGCAGTATTACAAACCACACAGACAGATCTCTGTTTTCACTCACTGAAATACAGCCCCCTCTGGGGTGGAACGTAAAAGAGGATTAGTAGCAGGCTGTACCTCCACACTGCAGTTCAGCACAGGAAATGGAGAACACTGTGTCCAACTGAAACTACAGCACGTTAGTAAACTTGGAGCAAACTAGACACTAAGAACTGCATCATAGTACACCGTCTTCGTTATGATGCTGTGCAGGATCTGGGAGCCTCCAGGCCTGAGACATGACTGGATCTTTCACCTCTGCTATGTTAATCACAGCCTCCAGCACTGAGACAGCAGCTCATTACCTTTATAGAAGTGCACCATGGCATCTAGTGTTGGACGGAGACACAGTCATATGGCCAGTGGGACATTATAACATGGACAGGTGGAAAGAAAGAATGAGTGTCCAGGAACCACACATCATCCTTTTCTCCAGAATTAACAGGAAGAGATTTATTATTAAATGAATAAACATGGAGAAGAGAGGCTCGGGATGTGTGTATGTGAGGCTGTTAACAATGGACCAGGCCCCATTACTCAGCTGAGCAGTAGCTCACACAACTAGTCCCATTTACTTCAATTATTTATATTACTATAGCACCTAGAGGTGCCACCAAGATCATGTGCTAGTCGTTTCACATACACATAGTGAGAGCCAGTTCCAGGCCCAAAGACCTTACAGTCTAAATAGACAAGACAGACAAAGGATGGGAGGAGAAACAGAAGCACAGAGAAGAAAAGTGACAGAGGAGCCTGGAATAGACCACACCTCTCCTGGGCCAGTGCTATAGCTATTGGACCATACTGTCTCCCCTGGGGGTAGCCATGAATAATAGCTCAGCATTGTGCACAAAGGGGTCACAATCTGGCCTAATGTTGGCTGAATGGGAAGCAACAGGAAAAATTGCTGTGATAGTGAGTCAGCAATCAGAGAAGTCCTTAGTAGGGACTTCAGCAGGAGGCAGTGTGTGCTAGTGGATGGAGCACTGGACTGGGAGTCAGGAGACCTGGTCTAGTCCTGGCTCTGCTCCTGCCCTGCTGGGTGACCTTGGACAAGTCACTTCACCTCTATGCCTCAGTTTTACCATCTGTAAAAGGGGGTAATGATTCTGACCTTTGTAAAGTGCTTTGAGATCTGCTGCTGAAAAGCTTTAGGTATTATTAGTATTATTACTAGGAATGTCTACACAGTTACAATATACAAGGCCCTTTCCCCAAGCAAGGGTGAGCAACACCCATTCATGAACGTGCTGGGTGCTGGCCGGTCAATAATCAAAGCCAGGTGTGTGGCTCTACTCCCTGGAATAATATTAATAAATGCCATGCCAGACTGATGTGATGGACACTGCAAAGTATGTGCCTATTTACCTTGGCTCCCAGCAGCCACTTGCTGAATGTGAGCATGTCTCCATTTAATGAGAAAATGCAAGTGTATATTGCCCGCCACTCAGCAAAGAGACAAGTAATGGGCAAAGAATATTCCTAAAGAGAAACTTCCCTTGACTGAGTTTTGTAGCGAATGTTTCATAACACTAATGAAGGTACATGGAGCTTTTTGTTTTCAAAGTGATTCACAAACCACAGCTAATAATTGAATTAATTAATTACAAGGCTATTCATAGATTCATAGCTATTTAGGTCAGAAGGGACCATTATGATCATCTAGTCTTACCTCCTGCACAACGCAGGCCACAGAATTTCACCCACCACTCCTGCGAAAAACCTTGCAGTGCAGTGTAGTAGCACCTAGAAACCCCAACGGAGATCAGAGTTCAGCTAACACTGGGCACTTTTGAAAATTCCATGTAAATTTCCAAACATCAGGCAGGCAGAACAAAGAATGGACTCTATTCAGTGCTGAAGAAAGGCATTTTAGAATCCTGAGCATACATTTGTCTGAAGTAAAATTACTCCAAAGCAGCCATTAGAAAGTACTTTAATTAATTTTGTTTTAACTTCAGTGAAAAACCGCTCTTGAATTTAAATCTTCCCCTGCAGTGACAGCAACCCTAACCAGCTGCTAGTGCTGTGAATCAGAAAGTGAAAACTGTAAACAAAAGTGAAAGTAACCTGTGCACCTATGTCCCTCCGAGTTCCATGAAATGCAAAAAGAGAATCCATAAAAATGGTGCAAAGCAAATTAGATTTTTAATGGTCTTGCACTTTTAATAATCCAATTTGGTGTATTCAGTACCCCAGGTAACGAACACTGGGTTTCTAATCGTGTGCATTTCCCACCTCAAATCTCTGTGTAAACTGTCAGATTAGAAATTTATTCCCATTCACACTTAATTTAAGAAAGCCAGTGCAGGAATTTCTACTGCCTTTGCTGCATAATAGACTTCTATAGTGATGCCCAAATTTCTGGACTGTGGCTCAGACCACGCATCCATAGAAGGGAACAAAACCACCACTTACACCCCTGTGCCTAAGGCAACAAGATACTGGGTCCAGGTATTGCAGAGATATGTTTATGAAAGATTGTGATTTGGAGATGCTCCCTCATAAGGGACAGTGTTGTGAGTGTGGGAATTTGGAGATGTACCCTGGGAGGGTGGGCCGCAGCTCACTACAGAAGCTCTCCAGTTTGTTTTATTAAAGTTGTATTCCTTTCTCATTCACTGGCTTGTTATTTAATGAACCCCAAGATTGTTACAGGCATGTAGGAGTAAGCAAGGTTATTTGCCTGCGGACTCCCTCCGTGGAGCAAGTGGGCAAGGAATGGGTGAGGAACAAGCATAGCCTTGGCTCCAGCTCCCTACTCACTAAGCCAGATTGGGTTAAGTAGGACAGTAAACTTTACTGATGGCAAAGTAAATTCCTATTCCAGGAGAGCAAGAAGGAAGCATTCAGACTCAAAGTGGAGTCTCTGAGGCAAAATGTCTCCTGGGGCTGCTCCCTGGTTGATGCAGCTTTGGCCTCACTCCTTGCTCAGGGCTGTGAGCTTGAGTCACAATCTAACCCTAGGAATACACAAGTTGTGGGACAATAAGTTGGTTCCTCCTATAAACATGGAACAAATAGATCTTTGGCATGTGCCACGCCCTCAAGATAGCTCTGGCAAACAAACTGTGATAACGCTCAGCTGGCATCTGGAACAGAGCATCAGGAAAAATGTCCAACTGCACTGAATGATGTGGATTTCATCAAATTCACAGTATCCAGTCCACACACATACAAGTGCACAAACAGGCATACACAGATGCCAGCATGCACAGGGACAGGCATCTGATCAGAGACTCAGAGATACTTACACTAGATGTAAACATGCACCCACACACGTATGCACATATTGTATATACTGAATGGACACATACAGAAATGCATACACTTACAAATACATTCAAACATGTCATGGATAGATACAAATGCACACACACATACTCTATACACATGCACATGCATACACACAGGGCCTGATTCTCATTTATACTGTGGTCCCTTTATATTGCTCTGGCAGCAAAAAGGGGCCTTAAAGTAGGAATACATTACACCACTGCCAGTGTGGTTTAAAAGGGCCTGAGTGTATGAGAGAATCAGGCTTATGGTCTGCATCTATGCACTGCTACGTTCACCAGGCAAACGGTCTAACTGTTTATTGGCAGGGGCCTTAGAAATGGGAAGGAAGGAAGGAAGGAAAGCCCTTGCTCAAATGGCTGGGGCTCAGTGGTAGAGAACAATGAAGTAAGAGAAGAGGAAGAGCACAGATACTTCTGTAAAAAGAAAAGGAGTACTTGTAGCACCTTAGAGACTAACCAATTTATTTGAGCATGAGCTTTCGTGAGCTACAGCTCACTTCATCGGATGCATACCGTGGAAACTGCAGCAGACTTTATATATACACCGAGAATATGAAACAATACCTCCTCCCACCCCACTGTCCTGCTGGTAATAGCTTATCTAAAGTGATCATCAGGTGGGCCATTTCCAGCACAAATCCAGGTTTTCTCACCCTCCACCCCCCCACACAAATTCACTCTCCTGCTGGTGCTAGCCCATCCAAAGTGACAACTCTTTACATAATCAAGTCGGGCTATTTCCTGCATAAATCCAGGTTTTCTCACATCCCCCCCACCCCCATACA